CGGGGGAGCGGCCAAAATTTTTTTCACTTGGGGCGGCAAAAATCCTAGAGCCGGCCCTGTTTGTCCACATCTTTCTTAAAGTGTGGCACCCAGAACTGGACACAATATACAGCTGAGGCCTCAACAATGCCAAGTAGAGTGGGACGATTGCCTTCTGTGGCTTACATATGATACGCCTGTTAATATGCCCCAGAATGATATTAGCCTTTTTTGCAACTACATCACATTTTTGACTCATATTTCTGGGTGCTTATAAACTGATTGTTTAATAATCTGTTCCAGTATGTTTCCAGTTATCAAACTCTAAAATTCCCGGGTCCTTTTTGTTCCCCTTTTGAAAGGTAGGTAGTATGTTTGACCTTCTCCAGTCCTCTGGGACCTTACCAATCCTACATTCCAAGATTGCTTCAGCTAGTTCTTTAAGAACACTACGGTGAATTTCACCAGATCCTGCCAACTTGAATACTAATCTAAATATTCTTTCACCTGTTCTTTCCTGATTTTGGTTTGTTTTTCTTCCCCCTTACTGCTAATATAATACCTAGCTCTTATATAGAACTTTTCATATTTGACTCTTGTGCCAGTGGAATTGAACTCTCCCCTTCTGGACTACAAGTGGTGAAAACAGCAGTCTGATACGAGGAGCTCTGGATTTTATTCCTGGTTCTACCACACCTTTGGAGAGTGAACTTGGGCAAGCTATTTAAACCTTAAAAAGATGTGCACCTCAATCGTTAATATATTTTAGGCGCTTTCATTAATTAGGCTTATACTTCCTTCTCTCCAAACTGATTTACAACAATTTGCTAACATACAATGTCATTAGAAGGTTAAATAAAAGATCTGTCTAAAAGGGCTTAAAATTCAAGAGGCAGATAAGAGGTAAACAATAACAAATGGCAGCTTTACCAGTGATGTCCCATTCAAAATTAGAGGACAAGATTTTTATACCTACCTTTTTTCACCCATGAAGAAAATAAGATTGTTCCATTCCCTCCTTCCCCTACCACACAGCTTCTCTCTCTCTCTCACACACACACACAAACACCTTACTTCAGTTGTGAGAAACTGTATTTGTTAGCTTACTACATTTTGTTAAACAGAATGTATTATCAGTTCTTCCAATTTCAATTATACAGATAACAGTAAGGTGATGAGGTGTCCTAGTTTTCTGGTTTAACAGGACAGACCTGTCCAAATCTATTGAATACTATAAGTTTTAACAAAGCAAATGAATTAAAAAGCCAGCATCGAAGACGAGTGTCAGCACTGGAGCAGGGCTCAGAAAAGCTTGGGTCCCCAAATTTCTTTTAGAATCCACAGAAGTACCCAAAATCAGCAGGGATTTTGCCAGACCTTCCTAAGATCCCCACTGTCAACCTTTATGTGACACCTCTTCTCTTGTCCCTTCAAACACAAACACACACACACCACTCTACCAAATTCCAGATCTGGAACAAGCTCCGAAATCCCTGCAACCTATCCACCCAGCTACCAAAACCTCAAACAGGCACCTATTTATGACTATATTTTAAAATGTATTCTGTTTTATTATATGAAAAAAATCTAGTAATCCTAAACTTGCATTATTAAATCAAATTTTTCTATGAAAAACAGTGATAAGTTCAAGATCCATTAGTCGTTTCTTAGGAGAGTATTCGCAGCAGTGTTCATCAATCTGTTTTGTTCAGATGAATGCCCATATGCATGCAGAGGGGAAAAATGTGCATTTACCTGGCCTTACAATCAGGTATTTATTTTCTGAAATTGTCTCAACTCCATTTTGTTTTGCCGAGCATTGGTAGCACCCTTTAAATGATCTTTGTACATGTCTGATAGTGATTCCTTTCTGGGGATTGGAAATAAGCGTCAAATTCTCGGGGAATGGTTTGCCACCACATAATTTCAAGGTGAAATGTGAAACGTCTGGATCTGTCACTGGACACACCACAAGAGCATCACTGTCCTCGTTTACGTAGATGAAAGGGTCAGAGTCAGTAAGGAAAAGGATCTGTGGATCTGTAAAGAAGACAAATATGTTAAAAAGTCAGGAATTGTACAAGTTAAGGTTCCAAAAAAACAAACTCTGTCAGATTGCACAAAGAATACATTAAATTTTACATTTTACTAATATACTATGTCAATTCAAGTTTACTAAGTTAATGTTGCTAATAGAATTTTAGAAAACTTCCATATTTTCTGACTGCACTATGCTAAGGTGCAATAGTTTTAAAACTCCATCACTTGAGAGTTTTGTGAAAGAAAAAATTCTTATTTTTTCTTTTATCTTTAAAGAGAGGAAATTATTGTTTCCTTTTTATCTAACTCAAAAAATGCCAGAATAGATTTTGCTCAGACTATTAAACAAATCACCTCTGAGCTGAGACCAGGTTTATTGAGTTTCATACCCAGAAGGAGAATTTCTGAGAAATGTATGAGCAAGTGAAAGTTGAACTGCAACCTCAATTATAATTTTCACTTCTAAAAGAGACAATCTAAATGAACACATATTGCTACCAGAGGAAATACCAAAGTTCTCTCTCCCTGAAAATACTGGGGTATTTACATAAGCATCTGGTTAATCCATAGTATTGAAAAATTATGATGTAATTATTCTGTATGACTGCTTACAATTTTTCATGTCAGTCAATCTACAGTACAGTAATATCTAATGTATTAAGTATTTTATAACCAAAGTCCATGCTAGCTGCTAATTTTAAAATACTAATAATTTGTCCAACAAGATTGAAAATAAAAAAATTAAGAGATTTTACAATGACTGTCAAAGTTTATTTATGCCCCCATCTTCCATACCACTGCCCCGGGCTATAGTTCACATTGAAGGAGTAGAATTAGAACAAGTTTTGCTCCTTTTATTTAAGTTGGTCTTCATGTAACTTTTACATCCACTATCCTGAAATCACTACAGGGACTTAAGAACTAGCACCAGAAAATAGAGACCCACATGAGGATAGAAAGAAGAAAACAAGAGCATAGCATATTGTTTAACCAAAACAAGAATAAATAGCACATTTTAAGCTTGTTTTACTTATACTGTATACTTTAAAGATCTGTAGCCTAGAGAACTTTGCAGTGAGAGATGGAGTCAGCTGAGGAAAGAACATCTAATCCGAATCATTCTGTGGAAGGATAAAGTGACATTGAGCCCACTGGCCTAGTTGCAATATGAAGATATAGCATTAACTGTGCTTCTTTTCAAGTGGCAGAAACTCCCCCTACTCCCCCCCAAAAAATTGAACGCAAAAGCAGCTCAGGGCAAGACCCTTACTGTAGGCTTACTGTCCTGCAGCAAGAGTTTAATGGGTTCCAAATAAGATGGTAGCATACACAGAAGCACTGAATCCCTCCAAAACCAGAAGACAATCTGAATGAACTCATGAATAATCCATGCTGGCAAAGGCTTAAGCAATTAGTTTCCTCCTAGTCAACTTCATCCAGGATGGGTTCAGGTGCAGGAGGGTTCCCTAGGAAAAAGAGGTCCTTGGATGTGTGAACTAACAGCTGGTTCACAGACAGCTGGAATTGGTGTCAAAGCCAGGATGGAAGTGAGCAGAATTACCCAGGCTTGATCCTGTACAATCTTCCTAGATCTTTCTGGAAATGGGGAAGGAAAGATGGGATGGCATAAATCAATTTGTCTAAGGGAATGAAGACACCTGAAAGGATTACACATATACTTTCCTCACACCCCCACCTCACCCCACCAACATGTTGGGCAGTACTCCTGCTCCTCCAACACAAAATGAGTTGCTTATAATTGTATTCACCCAGCTTGCCTTTTATATAAAAGTGTCTGAGATGATTGTCCTCCATTTTATTTACTAGGAAGGGGTTAATAATTGCCTTCATCTAGACAATGGAGTTGTAAGTTCCCTGCTACCACATGTTTAAATAGGTGGTGATTGTCCTGTTGTCTATCAACACTGCATGATTTCTGATCAAGGAATAAAGAGTGTGTGTGTCATGATTGACCCAAGCTCTGAAAGACTGATGATTAGACTATATTACTCTTTGCCTTTGAAGGCTGGCATAGCAGCTATAGAAATCCTGATGGTGAAATTGTGATGTCGATATCCACCATTGTAGCAAACAGAGGACATTTTTTGGAGACATAACCATATTGTTCCTATTCTCCTATGCATCCTAACTGTGTAAAAGGAAAGCCGGATAGTGTTTCATGTAGAGTTGAATGCTCTGTACTGTCCTTATGTCTGCGTAGGACATCATCAAGCCCAGGATTTGAAGGGCATGCCACACAACACTGCAGGAACATGGCATGCCTTGAAAAAATATTTGTTTTACCTCCAGAAGCCTATTTGTCCCAGTGAGATAGGAATTTGACAAAGTGGTTAACCAAGTCTTGTGTGAGGGTCAGAAAGCTTCTCTTATAATTCATTGCAAAACCATGTTCATTTGACAGCACTAGTTTGCTATCTTCCATTCTGAGGTGAAGAGTATCCCGCTAGTAGGTCATTCTTGTAATGGGAAATATTGGTTATGATGACTACCATGAGGTTTAAGAAAATCTGTGTGATAGATAAAGCTCTAATGTGTCCGTCACATACTGGTATTGGCACGTCTGACTTCATTTGTCATGATCCATGAGAAACAAAAGTATGACTTGCTCTGAGGAAGAAACAAGAGAAATGTCCCCAGTGCTAGAGAACATCTGAATGGCCTCCAAGGCTTCCAGGTTACTGAATGGATAAGATGATAGGGAGAAAGCTGGTACCGAACTAGAGAGGCAGCAAAGTCCAGCACTACCACTGAGCTCTTGGTCTCAGACAGCTGATGTGGTTTGAAGGCAGATCGTAAATGGGTGGGTGGGTGGGTGGGTGGGATGAAGAATACATCTGTTCATACACAGGTCATAAGGTCTAAAGGAACCCAACATAGTATGTTCTCACTGAAAGTCTGCATGCATTTCACGGGAAGAGGGGTTCCAGAGTTTTAGGTTAGCTTTTTGGTCAGGTCACCTGGATGGTTAGACCTTGTCCTGGCATTGTGAAGTGAAGAAGAGGAAGAAATTTATCCATGATAGAAGGATGGCTGTTCTGAGGACTTCATAGCTTTGCATTTCTTCAGAAACGCCACAGGACCACATAGACTACCTTTGAAAATGTTCCATCTGGAGAAAATCCCCTGCCAGGCTGTGCTGGCTCCTCTGTCCTTATGGAGCAGTTCCAGAAGGATTAGCAGGTCACTAAGCAACTTCCCTCATCTCTCACAGGGACTACTGGCTAGAGGTGGAGAAAGAGAAACACTAGTTGCAACAGAAAAGGCCACGCAAAAAACAAACAAACAAAAAAACCCACCCCACCAACAGGAAAAGAGGGCAGCCTGAGCCACATGGGCTCAGGCAAGAGAATGGGTTGCCCTGGAAATCAGCTGAGCCAACCCCCCTTGAGGCGTAAGTTGGCAAAGTTGGCTGAGAGCCAATGAGGCTATCTGTCAGAATCCAACAGGTCACAGAAGGGAGGAAAACCGGAGGAAAAGACAGAGGAGGGTAAAAGGCAATAGCAGTTCAAGAAAAAGTATCACTCTTGTACACATTTCTGCAGGTACCCACTACAGAAAGGTGTACAAGAGTTAGTCAGAGCTGCCTGCACTAAAACGGAGGCTGCATGCAAGAGGATTCTTTGTTACCCACTGGCTTTTACAAAGGAGTGTTTAGGTACTAACATTTGTAACAAACTGCCTCAGTAAGTCAGAGGGTGGGGTCAAACCTTTAGTGATTATAGACTAGTGGATGTAAAGAATAATAATTTTTAAAATTCTACAAAGAATAAAATTAAGGAAGAAATAAGGGAACAATCCACCCAAATGATTTTAGCTCATTTTTTAAAATGGTATCCAAATTCTCCTTCCAGAAGCCAAGTTTTTGCACATAACAATGAAGATTTATATGGAAACGCTACCAAAAGCTTTCTGTGACTACAATGACCCTAGCAAGCATAGTCTAATGTAAATTCCTAACTTCTCCTTGTATGTGTTACACCATTTCTCATCCCCTGGTGTTGCTGAACATTGCTAAAATATGTTGTGTAATTTTAAATATATTAAGTTCCTGCTAGGACTATTTATTATTAATAATTATTATTTTTATTTGGGCTCAAGTCTTTTCTTTACCTGATCTTACCAGACAATCCAATTACAAATAATTTTGATTCTTAATGTGCTGATACACTACAGTCATAGACTTTAAGGCCAGAAAGGACCATCGTCCGACCTCCTGCACATGCCAGGCCACAGAACCTTACCCATCCACTCCTGTAATAGACCCATAACTCCGGCTGAGTTACTGCAGTCCTCAAATCATGATTTACAGACTATAGTAACTCAGAGAACCTACCCATCTAGCGTCTCATCTCTTGCCATGGATTCCTCATGAATTTGGAATACAAAGTAAACAGCTTTACTACAGTTTCCGAGTATTCATACGCAAAGGGACACACCAGATACCTGACTCCAATTATGTGCTTTGGAAGGGAAGAGGGGAAAAAGTATACATACAAATTTACCTTTAACAAAAACATAAATGGAGGTGTTCACACTCTCTTTGTTTTTGCATATGTATCTGCCTGTATCTTTGGCTGATGCATTTTTTATGTTCCACTCCTTATTCCTGAAATGTCTTGGCTTTCCTGAAGGGTCTGAGTTCTGAAAATCCCAAGTCACTGGACCATCATCATTGCATCTCAGTCTTACTTCTTGTCCGCTATTCACAACTAAGGAAGATTTTTCTGGAGTAATAGAAGGTATTGTGCCACCTGAAAGAGAGACAAAAATGCCGTATATATTGCTATATTTATTTGTCATGTTTTAACAAATGAAAATATTTACCTGAACCTTTAAGAATAATTTTAGATTTTGTGCCTTCAAAAATACAAAGTATTACACTTAATTAATTCTACAAGTTTCTGTAGACAGCTCATAACTAAAGACCGCAGCCCATATGCACAGAGCTTACAGCCACTGCAGATGGAAACTGGGTTAAATAGTTGTGACGAAGTGGGACTGTTTTTAATGTTCCCCCTAATACTGTGTGGGTGCCTCAGTTTCCCCTGTGCATTTCTTAAGCCTCTAGGTGGTGGGATAAAGGCCAGTGTGCATAAATCACCGACCCTCTGTCTCCTAACAACAAATGGCCAGGACCCTTCCCCACTTGCAAGGAAATAGGTAAAGGTGAACAAAGAGATCGGGTGACCTCCTGGCCTGGGAAAGAGACAAAGCCCAGAGGAGGACGGGCTGGAGGGGGTTTTCAGTTTGGAGTTGGCTGGGGACTAGGAGTGAGGGCAGAAGGGGGTGTCGGGCTCGCTGGGCCCCAGAATGGACCCGGTGGAGGGGTCCCGTTCGCTGGACTGACAAGCCCTGTTTTAGACTGTGTTCCTGTCATCTAATAAACCTCTGTTTTACTGGCTGGCTAAGAGTCACGTCTAACTGCGAAGTGGGGATGCGTGCGGGGCATATGCTAAATGCTCCCAGGAGAGACCCAGGAAGTGAAGCCGTGTGAGCTTCTTGCCCTGAACACAGTCTGCTCCATGGGAGAGGAGGCTCCCCAAAGTCCTGACTGGCTTTGTGGGGAGCAGTTCCAGAGCATCACCTGGGGACTCCGTGACAATAGTCTGGAAAGTGTTCCAGCTAAAACAGTTTATGTCATGATTTGGCTTGTCAATGGGCACAGAGCAAACAATTTTAACATGAAACTACATTTGTAAACTTGATTCTACCATGATTTGGTTTCAAGAGCCAACAGATGACCGCTGATTGTATTTTTAATTGTGTGATGTCGAGTTCTAAACTCTCTTTGCCCAATATTTATTATTGTTTTAGCTGCTTTACAATAGGAACTGCAACCACATCTATTGTGTAAGTGGATTAATTATATGAATATATATGGCTTCAGTGTAAAGTTTACAAGACATTTATTTTCTTTGATGAAATACTAATTTGTAACCTCCTACAGAAGTACTCAATATTATGCAGGTATTCCTACACCTCCTGTTGCAACATTAGAGGAACTGTTTTCTTCCAGTAGAGCTAGCCCCCTCAAGTCACAAAAGTATCATCTCTTTCACTGCACATACCCTGGTCTACCCTGATTGCAGCTTTAAAAAAGATTCTGAGAAAGTATTGCTATGCAAACTATTATCCCCCAAATGTAAAACATTTTCCCACCCAAAAACCAACCAAGAGCCTATTAAGGCCTACTTGTCTAAAATGTATTTAAATAAGCCACATAGTTTTTTTTGCTGAGCTAGCATACCCCATGTTTTAGCCTAAAGAAATTCAAAATTAATCTAGAAAATGGGAGTTCCTATGGGGAATGAAGACAAACTCTTACTAATGTTGTCCTGTCTGAACCACACATATCATATTAAATTTATGCAAATTATGCTGAGGTCTTGTGACAGCAATCTATGCCTATCCTGACACCCTTAAGAATATGTATTTAGTCAGGTCAATGACCATCTGTTTATCACATGATAACTGTCCATACATTAAATACATTAAAATACATTAAAAAAATTCAGCCAGACTTGATGACCAATAGGCACATATACTGGTAGAAATATACTGCAGTTGGCGATACAACTTCCATTCGTTTTCTTTCAAAAACACACACTGTTCTGATGTGGTGAATTTTCCTACAAATAGGGACAATGCCACAAGTTCAATCAAAACACGCTATAATTAGTTTGGACCCGATTATATTCCAGCCTTAATTCATTTATTTCTCAGCTTTAGTGGCTCTTAAGGGTATATAAATGGATTAAGATTAAGTCAGATAAATGCTCCTGTTACTGAGAAATCCAAAGACAATGAAAGAGTATAAGGGAAAGAATGAAGGTCAGAACTCCTTCAGATTTTAACTACTTTGTTTGCAGGCTGGATTTCTGGACTGAGATCTCTCTGTCACTGCTAATTAAAGGCATTTATCACTGCTCAACTAGAAAGATAAACCTTTTCCTAACATTACTGGAAATATTCCATATGAAGATCTTCAACCCATACATGCAGAAACAGCAGAATCTGTATGAAGTATCCTAAAATATAATCATGTCCACTTCCAGCAAAGAGGCAGACAACATCGCTACACAGCCATACTCCATGTTCATGGCTCTGCCAAACTTAGTCTGCTTTGACCCACTGAATGCATATAATATTTCAAGTCAGGAGTTCAAAGTCTACTATGTTTACAGTAGGCCCCATCTTCCAAGCTGCCGAACACACTCAGCTTCCAGCAGGTACTGAGACACAGGACCTGTCCCAATGTTTACAGCAAAGCCTGTATGTCCAGTGTAGCAATGTAAGCTTCATGTGCTGAGATTGGGGGGAAGGAAAGGAGCAGTGGGAACAAACATACCATAGCATTTAGAAAGCAAAATCCATGACTTATGAATGCTCCAGTAAAAATCTACATTTCGGGGTATTGATACAAAAAATGCATAACAATTATTTCTAAGCCACATAGAATAATAGGCTCCTGCCCCAAACTTTTAACAACCTAAATTAAACTTAATGTACCGAGCGATGTCATCAAACTAAGGATCTGATCCAAAGCTCATTGAAATCAATGGAAAGACATTGCACGTGTGTCTGCTAGGGAAGGGAGTTGGGGAGTTGGAGAATGAGGGTTACAAAAGTGAAAGACAACAAAATATGCTTCGTATTACGCATCTAAATATCTCTGATCTTTAAAAAAGAAGACTAATTAACTTAAAGTAGTATGGTTTATAGGTAGTAAGTGGGATGAAGACTGTGTGTGTATATGTCTCTGGGAAGAGTGATCAAGTGATGGAAGCCTGAAGATTTTTTTCAACAGCTTCTGATCCCCCTAATCCCAAACAGATTGTATACACCTTTTTAACATCAGAAACAGGACTATGCCTACAATTGGTTTTGAACAGAGCTGGGGCACATGGAAGAGCAAACTACAGATACATGAAGTTAGTGTTCCATAGCTAAACAGTCACTTTCACCCACCCCTATTGCCTTAGTTTATCAAAGCTTGTTTAATTATTAAAATGCTGGGATCAACTGTGAGCAATTGGAAAAAAGAACTGAAGTACCCTGGAAAAGGCTTCGTAAGCCACAAAGTTGGGGGATGGGGTATATGGCAATAGTGACTTCTGCACCAGAAGGGAGAGCTGGAAAATAGGGCTGAAGGAATAAGAGAATGATACTGCTCTAGATAATACTGATGAAGAGAGAAATAACCATCACAAGTCAAAGTGGAGGGATCCTACAAAGATCAGGAGATGTAAAAAACAAAACAGCTTTGCTTCTGGAGTGTGTAACAGTGGAAAAATCTTAAGTGAGGAATCTTGGATTCTTGTTAGCTTCAAGCCATTTGAGCTTTAGTGCTTGTGTAATAGGGAAAGGCACTGACAGGTGGAAATTTACATCATGTTCCTAAGCACCTTTGTGTTGCCCCAAGCTACCAAGCACATAAAAGATATTGCATTGCAGTTGAAGAATGAGACTAGGGCCTTGTCTACACTTACTGGGGGTTCGATGCATGGTGATCGATGCATTGGTGGTCGATTTAGCGGGAAGACCCACTAAATCGACCGCATATTGCTCTCACATTGACTCCTGTATGTCACCAGAATGAGAAGTGTGAGGGGAGTTGATGGGAGAGCATCTCCAGTCGACATGGCGTAGCGTAGACCTCACAGTAAGTGGATCTAAGTACGTCAACTTCAGCAACATGAATAACGTAGCTGAAGTTGAGTAACTTAAATCGATCTCCCCCTGTAGTGTAGACAAGACTTAGGAGTCAGGAGATCTGGGTTCTACTCCTAGCTCTGACATGGGCTTCCTGTGCAACCTGGGCCCAATCACTTAAACTTTCTGTGCCTCAGTTTCCCCCTTGCCATACAATTATCAAATATTAATGGAATCGGGAGTTTATAGCAGGTCTGCCATGCACAAAAGTGACCAGGGTACACTTTCAGAAGTGAGTCTTAGAAAATCTGTATGAGAAGATTCTTACACATTAAAGATAGATCAGCCAAAAACCCCATCAGGAATATAACTTAGTTGAGCTTTACAGTAGAACCAATATCATGTGAAAGACATTAACTGAAATGTAAATACAAACTTCAATATACAGATTCCTAACATTCTAATTTTCTTACAATTGTTATATTTTAGTTCAAAAGACATGTGGCTGGCGAGACGAAGGAAGTTGGGAGACTAAAGGAGTTTGCCAGCAGATGGAGAAAAGGAGGTAGGATGTTGGTTCCCCCCTCCCCCCCCCTTAACTTGCAAGTACTCTACAATGAAGAACTCGCATTGGGAGGAAAATGGCATGTTGCCAACATCACTGCTAACTCTTCCTCTGCCTGCTCCTGAGGGGGCCCCCCTCCAGCCAGGGCATACTGACCCTGGAGGCTTCTACCCAGGCCCTGGTCTTGACTTTCTGGGAATGAGGCCTGCACATCCCCGCCAACAAAAGCAAGGCAAGGAGATCACCTCAGTGAGAGAGGTGTCTGTTGGTGGAGTCCCTCAGGAAGCAGGCAAGAGAGCTGCAAAAGGAGGTAGCTTGTTTGAATATCACCTGGGAGCACAAGGATTTCATCAGCAGGATGCACAGAGGATGTTAGCTAACTACAGGTAACTACAGCGGCACAAGAGGAAGGAGAACCAGCTGCTCTACGAGGAGGAAACTGACTTCTGGCCACTTGGGGAGTAGACAGTGCTCCACCCCCACCCAGGTTCCCCATCCATCATGGTCAAGAACCAGTAGAATATATTGGAAACA